GAAACACCTCCCTGCCTCACAAAACGAGTGGGTCCATAAACGTCATGTCAGAGCCCCGAAACTATTGAAGAAGTTTCACACAGAGTATCCCAACAAGCCTAACTAACTTTTATACCTGTTTTGTTTTCTTGCAGGTGGATCTCTCTTATTGTTAAGAGGGGCCGGATGTCAGAATCCAATTATATTTCATCTTTAATTATCAAATATAGAAACTCCCAATTCTGCCTTCTCTGGATTCTGCCATCAGAGGGAGAGAAGGGGGAGAACAAAGGGGCTTTATGGCCCTCACTTCCTTCAGTACACTTCAAAGAGCTGAATGCTGAATGTGTGTTTATTGTAACCTCCAAGCAGTTAGCATACCAAAGAAGGGTACTTGCCTTTCATGTAGTTATCTGAAGTCTCCATCCAGACGGAAGAAAGAAGAAAGGGGGTGGAATTGTGATACTTGAAACTATCACTGGAAGGGGGGTTGATTGGGTGGAACTACTGGGGAACCCCTTAAAACCTTGAATGGGAGAGCTTGGACCCCAAGTCCTGTCTAGCATGCCTGCAACCATTTTCTCTTAATAAAGGATTCCTGTTGGAAGAATTATTCCAAGAGTTCTGTCTTCTTAAGATGCAAAGTGGGGGGGGTCCTTACATGTATTGATAGTTGGGGGTGAGCGCACAAGTCTCATAGGACTCGATTGGTTTGAGGCCTTGGGAATACAAGTTACAGGGCTCAATAGCTTGCAAACAGTAGGTCTACAAGAAGTCTGCAAAGAATTTGCAGATGTCTTCAGCCCACAGCTGGGTACATACAAAGGGCCCCCAGTTTCCTTAAAATTGGACCCCACTGTCACTCCTATCAGAGTAAAAGCAAGGAGAGTACCTTTTGCTTTAAAAGGAAAAATTGATGCTGAATTGGACAAATTGATTCAGCAAGGAGTCTTAGAACCTGTTGACTCCAGTCCTTGGAAAACTCCCATAATCACGCCTCTTAAGGCTAGTGGGGACATTCGCATCTGTGCAGATTACAAATGCACCCTAAATAAGGCATTGCAACAACATGCCTATCCTGTACCTGTAGTCAGCCATATTCTGGCTTCCCTCAAGGGGGGGGTGTTTTTGCAAAGCTAAATTTAGCACAGACTTATCAACAGTTACCTGTTGATGAAGCTGCTGCTGTAGCACAAACCATTGTAACACACGGGGGGGGGCGGCATTCAAAGTCAAAAGACTACAATTTGAAGTAAACGTGGCTCCTGGAATTTTCCAAAGCGTAATGGAAAACACCTTGAGGGGTATACCAGGGGTTTGCCCCTATTTTGATGATCTTTTAATAGCTGGAGACTCCACTCAAAATTTAGCTGAGACATTGAGGGCTGTTCTATTGCGGTTCCGGAAAACAGGCCTCAAGCTAAAAAAAGACAAGTGTAAAATTGGGGTTCCTTCCACAGACTTCCTGGGATTCAAAATAGATGCCAATGGGATTCAACCTGCTGAGTCCAAATTAAAGGCTATCATGCTAGCACCTAGGCCTAAGTCCAAGGCTGAACTACAAGCTTTTCTGGGCCTCTTGAATTTCTATAATTCATTCATTCCTAACAAGGCTAATGTAGCTGAACCACTTCATAGGCTTCTGGACAAACAGGCAGTGTGGCAGTGGTCACAAGCACATGAAGCAAGCTTCAATGAGGTTAAGGCTTTACTCACATCCAATAATGTGCTTGCACATTTTAATGAAACTCTCCCTGTGTGATTCGCTTGTGATGCCTCCCCTTATGCGGTGGGAGCAGTACTTAGCCACCTTAGACCGGATGGAACTCAGGTTCCTGTTGCATATTACTCCAGAACCTTGTCTTCTGCTGAGCGAAACTACGCCCAGATAGACAGGGAGGCCTTAGCTGTTGTTGCTGGAATTAAAAAAATTCCATGATTTTTTATATGGCAGACATTTCACGGTCCACACTGACCATAAGCCTTTGTTGGGGTTGTTTACTACAAACAAACAACCACCCCATATCATCTCCCCCAGGATGCTGAGATGGTCAATCTTTCTGTCACCCAATGATTTTTCTTTAATTCACAAACCTGGCAAAGAAATGGGCCATGCTGATGGCCTCAGTAGATTACCCTTACAAGTAGTGGAGGCTGATCCTGCCCCTGCCATCAACATCCTTTCCATTCAGGCACTGCCTGAGTCACCTTTAAATGCCAGGGATGTGGCTGCTGAATCAGCCACAGATCTCACACTCTCTCATGTCTTATCCTGGGTTTTGTCTGGATGGCCAGAGAGTTGTCCAGGCACTGAGTTTCAGAGTGTCTGGCTTAAGAGACATGAGTTATCCACTTTTCAGGGTTGTCCGCTGTGGGGCAGCAGAGTTGTTATTCCTATCTCAATGAGGTCTAGAGTCTTAGGTTCCCTTCACGAGGGTCATCCTGGCATTGTAAGAATGAAGGCGCTTGCGCGCAGCCATTTGTGGTGGCCTGGGTTAGACAAGGAAATTGAGGCTAAGGTGCACGCTTGCCACCTTTGTCAGCGCTCATGCCCAGAAATGCCCCAGGCTCCTGTGCATAGATGGGAGGAAACACAGTCACCTTGGTCTAGGGTGCACATCGATTACGCTGGGCCCTTTCAGGGTCAATTCTTCTTGGTCCTGGTTGATAGTTATTCAAAATGAATTGAGGTTGTACCTGTCTCTTCAACCACCGCTGCCAAGACCATTCAAGTACTGAGGGGGATTTTTGCTGCACATGGGCTTCCGGATGTGTTGGTGTCTGACAACTGCCCTCAATTCACCTCTTCCGAATTCCAAGCTTTCTTACAGGCCAACATGATTCGTCATGCCACCTCTGCACCTTTCCACCCTTCCACCAACGGTATGGCTGAACGGATGGTCCACATCACCAAGGATACTTTAAAGAAACTGACCTATGGGGACTGGCACCACAGGTTGGCTGATTTTCTTCTTGCGTACCGCACCACACCTTCAACTTCTACGGGGAAAAGCCCAGCTGAACTTCGCTGGGGCTGCAAACTGATTACTAAACTTGACCGGTTGCACCCGGACAGACTGCCTCCTAAGGTTACAAAACCCAGGGCTCCGAGGCAATTGCAAGTGGGTGCCCCGGTATGGATCCGTAACTACGGGCCAGGTGACTTGTGGGTTCCTGCTGTAGTATGCAAGGTTACAGGTCCTTTGTCATACGAGGTCTTGTTGGATGACGGTCGTATCCTGCGGCGGCATATCGACCAGCTGCGTACAAGACTGGACTTACTGGCTCTTTTCCAGGGGGAGAGGGGGACCTCTATGGGCAAAGGGATGACTGTTGGCAGCAGCCAGGCACCAACAGAGAGGCCACAGATGGCCTATCCCAAGATTCCGCGAGTGTTCCAAACAGGAATTCGTGGGAACTAGCTAGCACACAGGCACCAGTGCCTACTCCAGCCAGGGAGTCACCCAGGGGGCATACTCATCATCCACTAATACCATTCAGCACTCCAGTCAGGGAGAATAACTGGGAGCATCCTAATAACTCCAACATTGCAAGAGAGCTGGCACACAATCAGTCTAGCTGGCCCAGCACTGCTACTGTTTGCAGAAGGAGGCATTCACACAGGGAGGTGGTCGGAGGGGCAAATCCCAATTCTGACATCTCCGGCATAGTTGAGGGGGCAACTGAGTTTTGGGATAGTACTGAAAACCCAGACAGTCCTACTGTGGAACTGGGGAGTGGAGGAAGGCAGCCTCATGATAGGTCCAGTATGGGCCTGGGAGGCTCTACAGAGTTGCCCAACAGTGGCAGTCTTCTAGAGGGGCCAGAGAGCCTGCAACTAGGCAGGTCAACCAGGTTATGGAGAGAACAAAGTCCTGGTCTGACGAGCCCGATGGGCAAGCAAGCAGACCAGGCAACGGGGCACGGTCCATGGGGACCAACAGGGTCCGAAAAAGGGGGCCAACCCATATCATCCCCTGGGCAAAATGTAATTGGAGATTATCAGGGCCTAAGGAGATCACAGAGAGTTAAGAGATCTCCTAAGTACCTTGAAGATGTTGTAACTCTGCTGGAAAAGCAGAAACAGTGAGAGGGTGCCTCTGTGGGAAATTGGAAATATGGGCACTGGGGATTAATCTCCAGAACAATAGCCCAGTATCATTGGAGCAGGGGTTGGCACACCACACTCGTGCTGAGGTCCGTGTAACTATTCATCTAGTTGTAGTCTTAGCGGGGGGGGGGAGAAAGGGGTGTTGTGTCCTGAGCCTGCAAAGGCAGGCTCAGGACGTTGCAACGGTCCCGGGCAGTTGCAAGCTGCCCAGGACCAAACTGGCTGGCGCCACATGTGCGAGGCACACTGTGCGCCAAAATGTTGCCTTTTGGCCCGGGGATTGTTATTAAGAGAGGCTGAGAGGCTTGTGTGCCTCAGAGTTGTAACGGGGCTACAGAACAACAATAAAGAGGCTCCTGAAACTACGGGATGCTCCGTGACTTATTGCCATTAGCTGAGGACTCAACAATCATAGCACAGATGCCCCGATATGCATCGAGTATCAAGGCGAGGAGGTACACAAGTATGTAACAGTAGCATTCGCGTGATGACGTCATCGAGGTTTGCTGCATAGAATTTTACATTTTGTGCAGGACTATGCATTCAGACAAGCTCTGCCGGTGAAGTTTATTGAAAAAATCCGGAGACTTCTCAGGCTTGCTTGCTTGCTATTTCTTCTCTCCAAACTGGGCTCTAGAGCTTTGTAACGTCCAGAATTAAATCCCTAGGATTTTTACCGGTTTAGAGCCCGAGTCTATTTCTTACCGCAATTCTTAATACCTTTCATGAAGGTCTCAAGGCGGACCTTCATGAAAGTTAACATAGCCCTAGAGGTCACGCCCCCCCCTTCCCAAACTCTTAAGCAAAAGGTAAACCCTTCAGGAGAGGGGAAAGCGCTCCCGTGACGTAGCACGCTGCGTTGGATGACAGGAGGAGGTGGTGGAGGCGGGCCGGGCCCAGAGAGGGCGGAGTCAAGGGCTGTGCTCTGCATTTCGCCTTGCCCGGTTGGGCGGAACATTTCCTGGCTGTCTGCCCCCGCGGCCCGGTGTTGGTCTCGCTCTTTCCGGAGCCCTGGGGCGAGAGGTGCATACCCCCCCGTGGGAGGCCCGACAGGTAAGACTGGAGGGAGGAGAATTCCCAATGACGGGAATGTGAGGATAGAGGCAAACGGGAACGGGGCCGAGTCTCCAGCCGGGTTGGAAGTCAACTCTGCAAAGCCCGTGGCAGGAGGAGGAGGACCAGCGGGGCGAGGGTCTCTTCTTGCCTAGTTCCAGAGCTTGGAAAGCTGCCTTTCTCAAAAATCTCCCTTTTGCTGCCCCCACGCTAGGACGCGCCAAGCGCTAATAGTCTTTTTTTTGTGTGTTCTGCCATACGGTACAAAGCCGGATTTTTCCTGTACAGCTGTCCTATTCCTGCTATCTGCTTACATGTTGTTGTTTTTTAAGCCCAGTTCCTTCTTTTGTAACTCTTCTGCCTCGTTCACCTATAAGTTCCTCCCCCCATTTGTCTTCCCATTACATCCAGCACAAGTTCCTCTTTTGCCTCCATTCCCAGAACTCCGATGTGTGATGTTTATTCTCTTAGACAGAATGTTTGTGAAGCATAGTCCAATATGAATGTAGAATTAGCACGGGAAGTAAACAGATAATGTTGGGTAAACATTGGTGTATTTGTAAGCAACGTGTGTCCTGAATGTTAGGGAAATGCTTGATAGTGTGTAAGCTTAAATAAAACTTGCCAAGAAAACTGCAGTTGTAGGAGTCAGCACTGACTTGAAGGCATCCAATAAAAAATAAAAGTTAAATATTTGTTCATAATCTAACTACTATACCTATTTCAGAAGAAAGACTGTCATCTTTGTAACCCATCTGTTATCTGCCTGGATCCATTGATATGATCTTAACTGGAGATGATACAAAATGTGTGGCATATCTCAGCAGAATACCTTTAAGAAACCCATTGCAACTCTTTGTCAGTTGTACTAAAGATTTGAAAGTTAAATGGTTTCATAACATTTGCACTTGTCAAACTTCAGATATATCTTTACCCAGAAGACAACATTTTCTTGCTCTGTAATGGCCTGTCTTTGCCTAGAAACCCTAAGGGGATTTTCAGCAATCTCTACAGATATTGTGCACAAGCCAATTAGCTGTTTCTGTGTGATGCTTAAATTTAGAAAAATGCTTAAAATTAGAGTCAAGGACTACCTGAGGTGGAGCTGATTATTATGAAATAATGAGCTTAGTCTCATTTTATTTATTTCATAATAATCAACTCCATGTCAGGTAGTCTTTGACTTGCAATCACAATTGGGACTGGAAATTCTGTCTTTAAGCCATGTGGTTGTTAAGTGAGTCATGGCCTAATTTACAACTCATTTTTGCCATGGTCATTAAGTGAATCTGGTTCCCTTCTTTTTTCCCAAATAGTAGTTTTTAATTACTGCAACATTCTCAGAACTTTTGATTAATGATCTTTTCTTTCCAAAATCTCGGTCCATTTAGAATTTCAGTAATATGACAAAGAGGAATGAAAGGATATTGTATGGTTGTTACTGAGAATTTCCAGCTGAATCACACATCACATCAGTAAAACTAATATAGATTCTGACAAGATGACCTAATGTGATCAACACACCAACATTAGAGCATAGTATGTTTAAAATACAATTCATTGAACAAATCTGCCTGCAAAACATAGAATGCTATTACACAGTTTATTTAATTTTGACTTAAGTGAATTTGTGCTATGACCTTATAGCTGAATGGTGATACAATTAACTCCACAATGGCTAAACCCCCATTACAGTAGAGAAAGACAACATTTTAATAATGTACTACTGTGAGCTCTAAAACTGTATGGTAAATATTCAAGAGCATACGGACTGATTTATGGTTCAAGACAGTTAAATAAGATGTTAGATTGAATAAAAATCAACTAAAGATTTGAATTTAATAAGAAGATGTTTGTTGGTGTATTAACCTGTTTGTTGTGGATATAGTAATTTTGGGAGGGGGTTAAAGGACTTGGATACAGATATTAAAGGACTTTGATACAGATATTGAGGGATTGATAGATCATAAGGTATAATAGAGTAGCAAGATATTTCTTTTTCTGCTTTTTCTTCTATTTTTTTTCTTTCTTTTTTTCTGAATTAATATTTTTGTTATTAGGAATGATAGTTATTTTGTAATGGAAGAAGAATAAGAAAAAAGAAAATGATGTTAATAAATGATTATAGAGGATATTAAGGAAAAAGGGAATGGAGAGATACCTGAAGTGTTAGTTATGTATTTATAGTAGCAAATTGGAATATTATAATTGAAATAGTAAAGCTTAATACAGGATTTGGATATACAGTGGGGCAAAAAAGTATTTAGTCAGCCACCAGTTGTACAAGTTCTCCCACTTAAAAAAATGAGAGAGGCCTGTAATTGTCATCATAGATAGACCTCAACTATGAGAGACAAAATGAGAAAACAAATCCAGACAGTCACATTGTCTGATTTGGAAAGAACTTATTTGCAAATTATGGTGGAAAATAAGTATGTGGTCAATATCAAAAGTATTCATCTCAATACTTTGTTGGCAATGACAGAGGTCAAACGTTTTCTGTAAGTCTTCACAAGGTTGGCACACACTGTTGCTGGTATGTTGGCCCATTCCTCCATGCAGATCTCCTCTAGAGCAGTGATGTTTTGGGGCTGTCGCTGGGCAACATGGACTTTCAACTCCCTCCAAAGGTTTTCTATGGGGTTGAGATCTGGAGACTGGCTAGGCCACTCCAGGACCTTGAAATGCTTCTTACGAAGCCACTCCTTCATTGCCCGGGCAGTGTGTTTGGGATCATTGTCATGCTGAAAGACCCAGCCACATTTCATCTTCAATGCCCTTGCTGATGGAAGGAGGTTTGCACTCAAAATCTCACGATACATGGCCCCATTTATTCTTTCCTGTACACGGATCAGTTGTCCTGGTCCCTTTGCAGAGAAACAGCCCCAAAGCATGATGTTGCCACCCCCATGCTTCACAGTAGGTATGGTGTTCTTTGGATGCAACTCAGCATTCTCTCTCCTCCAAACACGACGAGTTGTGTTTCTACCAAACAGTTCTACTTTGATTTCATCTGACCATATGACATTCTCCCAATCCTCTTCTGGATCATCCAAATGCTCTCTAGCAAACTTCAGACGGGCCCGGACATGTACTGGCTTAAGCAGGGGGACACGTCTGGCACTGCAGGATCTGAGTCCCTGACGGCGTAGTGTGTTACTGATGGTTGCCTTTGTTACGTTGGTCCCAGCTCTCTGCAGGTCATTCACTAGGTCCCCCCATGTGGTTCTGGGATTTTTGCTCACTGTTCTTGTGATCATGTTGACCCCACGGGGTGAGATCTTGCGTGGAGCCCCAGATACTCAGTGGTCTTGTATGTCTTCCATTTTCTAATTATTGCTTCCACAGTTGATTTCTTCACACCAAGCTGCTTGCCTATTACAGATTCAGTCTTCCCAGCCTGGTGCAGGTCTACAATTTTGTTTCTGGTGTCCTTCAACAGCTCTTTGGTCTTCACCATAGTGGAGTTTGGAGTGTGACTATTTAAGGTTGTGGACAGGTGTCTTTTATACTGATAACAAGTTCAAACAGGTGCCATTAATACAGGCAATGAGTGGAGGACAGAGGAGCCTCTTAAAGAAGAAGTTACAGGTCTGTGAGAGCCAGAAATCTTGCTTGTTTGTAGGTGACCAAATACTTATTTTCCACCATAATTTGCAAATAAATTCTTTCCAAATCAGACAATGTAATTGTCTGGATTTGTTTTCTCATTTTGTCTCTCATAGTTGAGGTCTACATATGATGACAATTACAGGCCTCTCTCATCTTTTTAAGTGGGAGAACTTGCACAATTGGTGGCTGACTAAATACTTTTTTGCCCCACTGTATCTAGATAAAATGTTATTGAGGATTGTTTTGATTGACTTAGTTGTATTGAAATACATTAATCTGAATATAATATATTATCTGAGGGAATAGAGAGGGGTTCTTCTTTTTTATGATTTAATTTGAACTATATAAGTATGATTTTGCTTTTGGATAATTGATTACCCTGCCACCACATTGATCTTTAAACACTTGTTTGTAAAAAGAAAAAAATAATAAAACTTGTTTTTTAAAAAAATATTCAAGAGCATAAATTCCATATTTTATGCATTAATATTTATATGGCAACATATTCTAGTTTTTTTAAAACCTTAGAATGGCTTACAAAGTTAGCCTCAGAACAATTTGTCAGATCTCTTTAGCAGCAGTCAGGACTGGAAGAGAATATCAGAAACAGGTTCGGCTCCAGTTAGTAAGTTTTATGGTAGCATTAGTTTAAGATGTTCTGACTAGGAGTTTGCTTTCAAATATGAACTCTAAATATAGACACTTCAATGTTGTTAACTTTTTTTTTGTTTTTCTCCTGTATTTATGATGTGAGAGAAGGAAGCCTGTGTCTTTTGAGAAGATGGGTCAACATATATTTTGGATATTATTTATATAACAATTACTTGGTTATATTTTGTGACAAACTGGTTAGCTCTGTTGTCTGAAGCTGGCCCCACTGGAAATAGTTCTACTGCCCTGCTTTGCAGAGTATCTCAGAGCTCTCCCCTCACCTTTTCAGTGTATACATGAAACTTGTGGAAAAGGTGATGTTTTGGCACAGGGTATGGTATCATTAATATGGTGATGATACTCAATTATATATTTCTGCCCCTGACTGTTCAAACAAAGAGGATCATGTGCCCATGAAGTTTGGCTCCATAGGTCCTGAAACTGGAGAGACTGGAGAGACTTCATCCAAGCCAGGGATAGCTTGAATTGGGAGGACTCTTCATCTAATGACCGGGTGGGATTTGGTCAACAGTGGCAACTGGGACAATCAGGATTGCCATCACTAAACAATGTAATGACATGATGTTGCACTGTATGACCACATCACTTGTGATGGAAAATTATTTATTAACTCAGTTTCTATAGGCACCATGGTTAGATAGTGTCATCAATACACTGGGCACAAGTTTGAGCAGACTCAGAGAAACAGTGGAGGACAGGAGGGCCTGACATGCTGT